TTGAGACAGAGCCTCAAGCTGTCCCCCTGGGTAGAGTGCTGTGGCATCACAGCTCACAGCAACCTCCAACTCCTGGGCTCAAGAGAGTCTCCTACCTCTGCCTCCCAAGTACCTGGGACCACAGGCGCCCGCCACAACACCTGGCTATTTTTTTTGGTTGCAGCCGTCATTGTCGTTTGGCGTGCCCGGGCTGGATTTGAACCCACCACCTTAGGTGTACGTGGCTGGCGCCTTAGCCACTTGAGCCACAGGTGTCAAGCCACAATTATGAATTTCTGCTTAGGCTATTCTATCAAAAAAGCTATTGTTTTAAAGGGTATTCTAGCTGTTTATTATTCTATTATAGTTTTCTGTAATAATTTCAAGAATAATAATTTCAATTTATCATGTAATGATGCTCTTGGCATTTTACTTTCAAATATTAGAAAGAATGGTTTTAAATATTGTGTCATAATTGTGTGATTGACATCGTGGTTGCTTTTTGAAGGATGGAGAATGAGGATTTGCCTATAAGTTGGGTGGAGAGAGAAGCTAAAGAATTAGTTAGAAGCTTTGTTTGATTTTTTAACACAGTAGTAATAGTAATTAATAACATTTAAGAATTTAGTGTAAGCTTTTTTTTTTTTTAGATTTCAATCTAATTGGGTGTTTTTGAAATCTTGGTGACTTGCAGAAACTCACAGAAGAGAAATATCAAGTGGAACAGTGTATAAATGAGGCATCTATTATAATTCGGAATACAAAAGAGCCCACACTAACTTTGAAGGTGATACTTACTTCCCCTGTAATTAGAGACGAATTGGAGAAGAAGGATGGAGGTACACGTGTGTGTGTGTGTGTGTGTGTGTATATATATATGTGTGTATTTTGTTCATGTAAAAGTTTTCTTAAATGATATGTTAACTGTGCTTTATGGATTTAGGGAATAATAGTCTTCATTTGCTTTATGCTACCTATAGTATTTTAAACAGCTCTGTTTCTATAGAATCAGTATATTTTATTAAAATGTATAAATTGAAAATATAAAATATGTTAATTAAAAACCCTGTGCTTATCATGATTTTTATACCATTTTGGTATTGTTTGTATTAAATTATTGGTATCAACTTATTCTATGTATTTTGTCTTAATGGTCAGATTTCAGAAATAATTGTGGACCGAAACAGAAATTTTCTCAAATTGACTCACTTATTATTTCAAAATACTCACTTGCATATTATACTTGACTTCTGCTAACTATATAATCTTGTAAGATTTATGTTTACTTAGTTGTTATGAAGAGATTTGTTTTATAGTGTGAGGGATACAAATAGGGAGTTTTTTTTCTTCAGCTATTTCTTCTAGCTATTTATTATTCTATTATAGTTTTTTTCTAGGAGATTTGTGAACCATGTTAACAACTTGAATATGATTTATCTGAGAATCTTGCTTTAAATTAACTAACTTTTGAAGTTAAAAAGAATTGCTGTATGGCAATGTCATTCCTATAAAAGTAGAGTGAGAAATCTGTTCACTTGCCAGTAATTTTGAGAAGTAGTGATGGAACTGTGGGCTGCTTTTCTGATGTTTTTATCCTGTAATGTTAGCTTGTTTCTGCCTTTAGTCCTATCCCTAGAAACTTGCCAGCTGGCCACTCTATCATGACAATTTAGAGGCAATATGGTCTCTCCAGACTAATGGGAACTCCCTGTTATATTTAGCGCTAGACTTTAAACAAGTCCTGTTGCTTATTTTCCTACCTGGAAATATCAATGCACTATGAAATATTGGTCAGTTTCCTAGTTTATCAGTTTGTGATAAGGGTAGAGAAATAGGCACATTTACCAGTGAAGTTAGAATTTTGATTTTTGGCAGACGTGACTTATAGGATCACTTAACGTAATAGACTCTTTTTAAGAAATTGTTTTCAGGGTAACTAAAGCTATATTGTACCAAACAGATTTAATCCAGACACATTTATGAGCAATATTTTAAAATCAAAGTGCATCTGATCTATAATTGGGTTTATGCCTGTACTTTAAAAATTTCTTTTGCTGTATATAGCATCTATAGCACCTCTGAAGAACCTATCTTAAATGGCTTAATTTTTTTAACAGCTTTACAGTTCACCATTAACTGTAGAACTATAAAATGATTTCTGAAGTGTCAAGATAAATGTTAATTCTGGTAAGCTGTGTTCTACTTGACCCTCTAGTATAAAACCAACCATTTCTAATTAGAGTTATAATTATAGGTATTATTTAAAATTATTTGAGTATAGGAAGATGAGAAAAAGACTAAAGTGTATGTTTGCTTTTACCTGTCATCATCCCTTCCATTATTTTTTTGGAAAATACTAAGGAAACATCTGGCTTCTTTTTTCCTCTGGATTTTGTACTTACACAAGATTTTATCATAGCTTTCAGTGATAGTTTTAGGCTTAGTTGATTGCTTTTATAACTTTAATTTCTACTTGGAGAAGCTGAAAACAAATTCTTAAAAGTATTGTATCCTTGCTAGAAAGAAGCACTATTTATTATAGAATGGAATTTACAATAAAGTAAGAGAGTCATAGTGTCTGTGTAAGGTGTTTGAGTTACTAAAGGATCCAGAGACCTCTATGAGCTGAATTTTGTCAGCTGATGTGTGGGATCAGGTAAGGTGAAAAGAAGCAGCTTGGATCTTATGTTTTATACATCTTACTTTCTCTCCTTTGAATGGCAAAAGGATTTGCTTTGCTGTTGTCCTTTATATCCCAGCCCTGTTGACTCACTTGATTATCTTTTATAATCTGCTCTTTTTGTCTAACCTGGGCTTTGTCAAAGACAGATTTTTGTTCTTTGCTAGCGGTTTGTGTATTCCTGGGCATCTTGGAGGATTTAGCATATATGTGAACATTTGAGACCTGGGCTATGCAATTCTGTTTTCTCATAATATACAGTTTCTCATCCCCTTAATGCAATTTTTTTCCACCGCATGGGATGGAAGCACAAGCTTCATTTAGGTTCCAGGGATTTCTGAGACTGAAAGATACCCTTTTATTCAATTACTGTACAGTTTCTTTCTTAAAGCAAAAAAAAAAAAAAAAAAAATCCATTATAACTTTCCTTTTGCATTTTCCTGTGGTATTTCAACTTCCTCTCACCTCCTATACTCAAACAAACTATTCACAATACTTACACATCTCATATATTCTTACTTTACAAATATTTGGTTAAAATCTGAAAAAAGGAAAGAAGCATGGCTGATAGCAGGCAGGACCAGAGGACTGGTGCAAGTTAGAACATCAAACTTCTCAGGCTTGTCTGTGAAGAAGTGGGTCTAACTCATTCAAATCACCATTTATGTTTTAAATTGCCAGAGTACATAGTAAATCTCTTTGGTATTTACTGTTCTACAGGTCACTTTCCTCCTGTGCTGTTAGTCTTTCTTCTATACTCTAACCTTTTACTTGAACGCTCTGTAGAATCACTACTTCCCTATTACTACATGTTTCCTGCTGATGAAGGCATAGGAGAAGCAACACATACCTTGGTGTGCAGCAACTTCATGTTTGATTCTTAACTCCATTAGTTAATATGGCTGTGCGACCTTGAGTAGGATTCTTCATTTTAAAGTATGGATAATAAATACCTCAAAAAATTGTTTTGAGGTTAAGTGAGATAATTTATAGAACGTGACTTATACAATAACTGGCACAAAGTAGTTGCTCAGTAAATAGTGGTAGTTACTCAGTATATTTAAGATTCCCAGCACAAACCCACCCACCTCCTTAGCTGGCCTTCAGTTAACAGTGAAAATGTATGCATGGTAGGTCTGAAGACCTGAAGCTAAACACAGTTAAACTCTTAACTGTAGTATTAGAATTGGTATGCTGTATTTATACAGTGCTACTAGTAAACAGTTAGTGTATTGTGCAGCTTATGACTCATGGAGGGCAGCCATCTCTTCTCCTATCTTTTGTCCTTAGCACCTAGAATGATACCTAATACACAGTAGGCAATAAAAAAAAAAACAAACCCTAAATCTGTTAAATGAATTTACTTAGCATTACTTAGATTTATTTCTGTGAATGTACTTCAGTAATCTGTGTGATAAGCACTTCTGCATATATGATTTATTTAAAAAACTCTTTATAACAGCCCTTTGGGGTGGATAATTGCCCTGTTATATAAATAAAGTCTCGCATGTTACCCTGGTCTTCTGACTCTAAGTCCACTATGCAGTCTACTGTCATGTTACTGTCTGGAAGTAGTGCATGAGTGGTTTAGTTGATCTAGCCATTCTGAGCATCACACAGAGCCTCAGCTTCTTATGGTGCTTGTGATTTTAAATTAGAAATAGATTTTTCTGTGAGGGTAATAAACTATTGTATTGGCTCGGCGCCTGTGGCTCAAGCGGCTAAGGTGCCAGCCACATACACCTAAGGTGGCGGGTTCGAATCCCTAGCCCGGGCCGGCCAAACAACAATGATGGCTGCAACCAAAAAATGGCCAGGCGTTGTGGCGGGCGCCTGTAGTCCCAGCTACTTGGGAGGCAGAGGCAGGAGACTCGCTTGAGCCCAGGAGTTGGAGGTTGCTGTGAGCGTGTTGCCACGGCACTCTACCCAGGGGGATAGCTTGAGGCTCTGTCTCAAAAAAAAAAAAAAAACTGTTATAATTTGAAATCAGGTGGCTAGGGAAACTTACAAAAATTTTTGTGGCTTAGATTAAGATGAATCTCCTTAGTACTGGAGTGGATTTTCAGAGGTTTCACAGAGAAGTTTTCCAGAGTCCCTTTTCTCATTGGTTCCAGTGTCAACTTTTGCGACTCTTCTTGGCATAATTTCACTAGTATGTGTCTTGCTAGGGTCAAGGCAATAGATTCTTTTTTTTTTTTTTTTTGAGATAGTCTTACTCTGTTGCCCCAGGCCAGAGTGCTACAGCATCATGGCTTACAGCAACCTCAAATTCTTGGGCTCAAGAGATCCTCTTGCCTTAGCCTCTCTAGTAGCTGGGGCTCCAGATGTCTGCCACCATGGCTAGCTAATTTTTCTATTTTTAGAAGTGACAGGGTCTCACTCTTGCTCAGGCTGATCTCGAACTCCTGGGCTCAAGCAGTCTCCCTGTCTTGGCCTTTTAGAGTGCTAGGATTACAGACATGAGCCACGGTGCCCAGCCAAGAGGGTATATTCTTACAGTCCAGAGATCACGACTGTGGTTACATAATGTTGCAGGTTTTATTTTCCTCTCTTCCCCAGCTGCTAGCTCTGCACTCTCTAGAGGAAACTTAGAGCCGTTATCTTTCTAGTGGCCACTGCCACTGAAGAAAAGTCATCCTGAGTGACATTACTAACATAAATTAAGAGAACAAAGCTCTGTTTGCTCTACCTTCTTGTATTTTCCTGTCCATATTATTGTGTCCTGATGTTTTGCATGGGTAGTGGCTTGGGGTAATGTCTTCACTTTAGAGAGCTTAAAGAAATTGAAAGAAAAATACAAGGATATTCCCAGACTAACTAGAAAATTCTGTTAGAATGAACTCAGTGTTCATATCCAGATTATTGAGGAGTCCCTCACAATATTGAGCTTAATTATTTTACTTTTGAAGAGCCCAGGTTCCAGGCATGTAACTCCTACTTAACACAATCATATTTGTGTTATGCATGTCTTTATGCTGGCCACATCTTCCATCTTGTATTTTTGTTAATAGGAGCAGAAAGTTAGCTTGCGCGTCAGGCATTTAGTTAGAGAAATTGACCACATTTCATGGGGTGTGGTGTGATTTTGGTCAATGATCTAACCAAGTAAACATGGTTAGGCACAATAGACTTCTTCCCAGTGCTTCTGTTCAGAATGTTGTATCTGTCTTCATGATTTGATGCCAGATTGCTGTGTAATAAAATTAAAAAAATTTTTTTTGGAGGGCGAGGGTTTGGCATTTTCATCATCCTTATCCTCTATCCCTGCCTCCTTGCTCTTATTTGTTTCATTGATCAATCTCGGAAGAAATGAAATGGCTCTCAGTTCTATTGTTTCTAATTAAGAACTCTAAGATTTTTTTCTTTAATCAGAAAAGTTTTGCTTTCCCATGAAATTGAAATGCTTCCATTAAAGTTTAGAAATAATTAAATTTGAGGTACTGCTACCAGAACTACCAGTGTTTTCCCAGCAGCAGTTCTGTGATTGCCACATTAAATGAAGGTTTTCTTTTTTGTGAATGAAAATATGAAAAACTGTATATTATAAATTGTATTAAGGAAACAGGCAAGCTAGGTTGTGAGTAGTTCCTGTACTATGATATTAATTTATATTGTTTTAATATAAAAACGTAGAAGAAGATAAAATGAGATGAATTATATCCTCTGCTGTTGCCTGCCTTGTGAATATTAAAACATTTTGGATCATTCGACTTTGTGTCAGTGTGTGAAGTAACATGGCCACTCTGATGGTGACATAAAAGGGAATCTGGTGCGGGTCTTATATTCATTGCTTTTCCCTTTCGTCTCTTTATAGAAGAATCTGTTGGCTTCAAATGTTGACTGTATAGCAAGCTGATGTCTCTGGATTTTTTTTTATTACAAGAGTTTGTGGTTATAATCTGCCTTTGAGATAAAAGAGTTTACCAAAATATTTTTGCCATTGTCACCTATTGAAAATGTCTGTGTCACAATCATTGTAAGATGTTATTTACCGGAAGAAAGTATTAGAAAGTACAAAAAGAATCCTGGCATGCCTTGTCTTTTCCTATCCAAGCTTCCTCTGCCTACTTCCCTCCTCCATTGTCTTTCTCTTCCTGACATCCCTATTTGGTAAGATGACAGAATAAAATTTAGCTTGCCTTACTGTTAATTTAAAAATTGAAGTCTTAAAAAATAAGCATAGTTCCTGCCTTCTATCTGAATTATATTACTTAGCAGTCAGTTAACCTGGTCATGCCTAACTTCTACAGTAGTTTGTTTTTTTCTGGTACATGAGCATAACACAGATGCTTGTACTAACCGTGGTTAAACATTTTGACATTAAAATAAGTTAGTTGTATGTTTGCATCACTGTAAAGACAAAATCAGGCAAGCCTAGGAGCTAGTTAATACCTATACTATATATTTTTTATAATTATAAATTGTAAGTCCAGGTTAATAATCCTTTTTGAGGTTTCTCATTTTATGATTAAAAAGGAGTAATGAGATCCTGTGTCATGGTTTTGATAGCAGGCGTTAATAGGAAACAATGCAAATACCTGCTGTAGAGCTCACCTGGTCAGAAAATAAGGATGTAGCACTTGAGTGTTCACAGTATTATAGCCAGCAAAGAAAATCATAATTCATCCTTTAATAAGTTTTGTTTTGGCAATTATGTCTTTGGTTTTAGTTCATAACCATTCTTCAATTAGAATAAACACTGAATTTGCCATGGTGGACTCCTGATAATGGAAGAAACTAAAAAGTATTAGTGCTCTAGATGTCACCCATTTAAAAATAATTATATTGTGTCTGTTCGTCCATAACAAATACACTGCTAAATAAGTCTGTTACTGTCATGATAATACTGGAGAGAAATGTTGCTGGGTAGAGCACATTAAAGAGGGTTCTTAATCTGATTTAATTGGATTAGACAAATCATTATTCCTTAGGAAACATTTACTTGTTGTACTAAATAATGTACCATGTCTTCAAAAAATTAAAAACTCACTTCCCCCCAGCTTAGAGGAGACAAATTTGGCTATCTAAACTTGGATTTAGTATCATATGACATCTCAAATATGGATATTTATCATTAATCACATGTTTTGAGTTTTTAATTTTGCAGCTTTGGGTCATTTAATCCAGTGTTAAAATGCTAAGGCAAGCTGAATAGCCATAAGTAAATAATATTAGATACTATTTTTTGCTACTTTTAAACAAATTATAAACTTGAAATATATTTCAATGTATTTTACATTTGTAGTTTTAATAATTTTGGTTTAGAAAAGAAATAGAGGACTCTGGGGTGACACTTGAGTTCTCATTCATGGGGTCAAGCTTCTATTAACATTTACCTTATTGAATAAGCTTATTTAGTTGAAAAAAAAAATTTGCTACACTCTGTGTATTCTCAGTATATCTCAAAATGATTAGTATGTAAGAGAGCTCCAATTTTTCTTAAAAACTGATCAATGATCAAAATTTCTTCTGTAAATAACTGTTACTGCTATTAGTCCCAGATTTCCCCTCCTAGCACCCTGCCAAAGGAAAAAGTGCTGTGTACTTACTTTGTGCCTTGTGATGTTATACATTAAATAAGATCCCAGATTGTAAGCAGCAGTGGTCATTGATTTGTTTATTGAATGAATTCCTTATCATTATGCTTGTGCACAGAATTGCTCTAATGGCTGTTTACTTAAATAATCCTAGTGCATATAGCTTTTTTTTTTTTTAAAGCAACAAAGTCAAATCATAAAAATTTCTGGGGGTTCACTCAGATACTGGTACTTAAAATTTTTTTTTATTGCTGGTAATTTGATAGGAATTCCTTTGTTAAATTGTATCTTTCTCTCTTTATCCCATTTTACCATTAGAAAATGTTTCAATGAAAGATCCTCCGGACTTATTGGACAGGCAGAAATGCTTAAACGCCTTGGCGTCTCTTCGACATGCCAAATGGTTTCAGGTTGGCTCTTTGTTGTTATCTTATTGTTATTATAGTTTTGTGCAAGTGTTGTTCGGAATATCTGCCATTTATTGTTTTTTGTTTACTATATAAAATGAGGGCTTATAGGATTGTTATTGGGTAAATGAGTTAATTTAGGTAAAGTGTAATATAGCTTCTGCTGTTAATATATTTAATGATGTTTTATAATCATGTAATTTTTTTGGTTTAGTATTCTGAATTTTAAGTGGTCACTTACAATATACAAACATGAGTGAGAAAAACTAAAGTTAGGGTAGATAGTTGCCTGGAATGGGGTTGCCATGAGGCTAGAAAGGCAATTTTAATATTGTGCTCCTTTTATTTTAAAAATCTGCCTTTCTAAACCACAATTTTTTTTACTTCTGATAAGTCATTTTTGTTTTTAGTTGACAAGTGATGAATGACTAATTACTGTTTATTTCAAAGAACCTGTTCATGATTAGTGTGCTTAAAATGAAGAATAGATTTCAACAGGGATATTAGAACCATTTTGTTTGTTTTAGGCCAGGGCAAATGGATTAAAATCATGTGTAATTGTCCTCCGAATTCTGCGTGATTTGTGCAACAGAGTCCCCACATGGGCACCATTAAAAGGATGGGTAAGTATTTAAATATGGCTAAAAAGGGCAGCATCTGTGCTCAGTGAGTAGGGTGCCAGCCCCATACACTAAGAGTGTCAAATTCGAACCCAGTCCCGGCCAAACTGCAACAACAACAAAATAGCCAGGTGTTGTGGTGGGTGCCTGTTGGCTGAGGCAAGAAAATCGCCCTAAGAGCTCGAGGTTGCTGTGAGCTGTGACACCATGGCACTCTACCGAGGGTGACAAAGTGAGATTCTGTCTCTGAAACAATAATAAAAATACATAAATAAATAAATATGGCTAAAAGCAAATTCAGAAGTTATAGCCCAGGAAATTCTATAGAAATGATGTGTAAAATGGCTATCTTCTGAGTTTGCTAAGACATGCTTATCTATTTTTGCCTTTTGCAAAAAAAATGTAAGCATGTTTTATATATGTGTGTGTATGTGTGTGTGCGTGTGTGCTCGTGCACACCATCACACTAGGCCAGTTCTTTTTATTTTTTTGTAGAGACAGTTGTTGTTGGTTTTTTATTTTTGTTTTTGTTTTGAGACAGAGCCTTGCTTTGTTGCCTGGGCTAGAGTGCCATGATCTCAACCTAGCTCACAGAAACCTTAAACTCCTAGTCTCAAGCAATTTTCCTGCCTGGCTCAGGCTCCCAAGTGGACTACACCACCATGCTTGGCTAAATTTTCTATTTTTAGTAGAGACAGGAATGTTGCTTTTGCTCAGATTGGTTTGAAACTCCTGACCTCAAGAGATCCTCCTGCCATGGCCACCCAAAGTGCTAGGATTACAGGTGTGAGCCACCATGCATTCTTTTATTCATATAATCTTTCCTTTTTACCTAACTTATTCATGTTACAGAACTTTAGGATTTTTTTTTTTTTCTGGCAAAAGGGTTTTATACCTTTTAGAAGTGAGTATCTTCCTGCACTTGATTCTACGCTAGTGGTTCATTTCCTGTTCACCTGCTGTCTACAGAAGCCTCCTTGGCTGACCCATTTCTCTTTCAGTGTCTCTTTATATTATGGTGGAAATTATCTGATAGGTTGATATGAATCCTGTTCCTTTTGTAATTTTCTCTTCAAATGGAGACACAGGTAAATTCATGATAGTAATTAAGGTCAGGCAAACAATACACTTGATTTAATTGTGGAAATAATTTATATATATTGTAAAGTTGACTTAATTCAGAAGTAATTATGTCTGATCAAATTGAGACTACAATTTAAAAACATTATGAAACAAGTTAAATAAAGCTATGAAAGGTCATTTATAAATGAATCTAGCAATTATTACTTTGATCATTTATAAATGAATCTCATAAATTACTTTGATATATTAATAGTATCATGTGTTTTTAGTTTATTGAATATAAAGATTTGGTCTTGTTTATTTTTTAATTTATTTTTTAATTTTTTTGAGATAGAGTCTCATTTGGACATCCTTGGTAGAGTGCCGTGGCGTCTTAGCTCACAGCAACCTCAAACTCTTGGGCTTAAGTGATTCTCTTGCCTTAGCCTCCCAAGTAGCTGGGACTATAGGTGACTACCACAATGCCCAGCTGTTTTTAGAGACGAGCTCTCATTTCTGGCTCAGACTGGTCTCAAACTTGTGAGCTCAGGCAATCTACCTGCCTCGGCCTCCCAAGTACTGGGATTGCAGGTGTGAGCCACTCTGTCTGGCCTTTTGTTTATTTTAATTGTAATACTTGGTAGGCTGACTGAAATGAAGTCTTATATTGGGGTATTTGTGGTTTTGAGTGCTTTCTAAGTTAGGTGAAAAATAGGTGGGGTGGGTTTGTACATTGGCTAATTATTAGCTATTACTAACTTCTATGAAGGCTTGTAAAGTCTTCGTTAAATGAATTAGATGACTGTAATTTCTTTAGTGATCTTTTCTGGGTACCTGAAAATAAAGCCTTTGTTACAGAAATATCTTTTGAAAATGTTATCTCAAAAATGCTCAATTTAAAAGTGTCTTTCTGAGGATGGACAGGGAAGGAAAAGAAAAAAACAAAGCAACTCTTGCCAGGGTAGAAGTTGGTATTCATGGGGGGAAAGTTAAGCAGGCTGTAATCCTTATATTGTCTGTCACTCATTGTTGTCCATTGTAGATAGACATGTTAGTTCATGTTTAACTGGAATCCTTTTTATCTTGGTGCACATACTAATTTGTAATTTAATATCTTCTAGCCACTAGAACTTATATGTGAAAAGTCTATAGGTACTTGTAATCGACCTTTGGGTGCTGGGGAGGCCTTGAGAAGAGTAATGGAGTGTTTGGCATCTGGAATACTACTTCCTGGTAAGGGTTCCAAACTCTGGAGGCAGAAGAATCAGCAAAATCTCATTTTGTTTATTTTTCTAAATATATGCTAAATTTGTTCTCTGCACAGAAAAATGCACTTGAGTTATTTTGCTTGGAATTTTAGCAACTATTAGAATGAGTATTGGAAAAGTGCTATGAAACTCCTTTGCAATAACTATAATTTGTATTTGATATGTACTGACATTAAGAATACTCATAAGATACTGAGTCTGCTATGAGTTTGCTTTACCTCAAACTCTGAATTTGAAATTGCATATGTTTCATTAAAAGATATGAAGTTCATTCTGTTTATAGTTTGGTTTTAAATTTAAAAAAATTAAATTTAGTCTTGTGTGTAATCCCCTATAAGATTTGGGATGATTTATCATGGTTATTTTTAAATTCTCAGAGTAAGACCCATTTTGGCCTTAGATATACAAGAGAACTTTAGTATAAAATAAGGACATGTAAGTGCTAACATACTGAAAAATGGGAGTGTCCTTTTTACTTTACGTAGCTGAGCAGACCTTTAACTAAGTTCCTCAGTTCCTTTTCTTTTTCTCTTTGTTTTCTGAATTCTAAACTTGGTTCTAAATGATACTTTTGTGTTTTGCCTTTCCCAAAGGGGGTCCTGGTCTTCATGATCCTTGTGAGCGAGATCCAACAGATGCTCTGAGCTACATGACCATACAGCAAAAAGAAGAGATTACCCACAGTGCACAGGTAAAAGACTGGGCATATCACCTTATTTTCTGTTTGAACCCATTTTTTTTGCATGTTGTTAGGGACTGCTGCTCTCTTAATATCAGCATTTAATGAATGTCTTTTTAATTAGATGTTGTAAGGGCTTTGTGAATGGCTGTTGAATTTGATTAAATATAATATCTTATTCTTTAGCATGCACTCAGACTGTCAGCCTTTGGCCAGATTTATAAAGTGCTGGAGATGGACCCCCTTCCATCTAGTAAGCCTTTTCAGAAGTATTCCTGGTCAGTTACTGATAAAGAAGGTGAGTGTGAATGTTTTCTTTATCAGGATTGGGGGTTGGCAGTGGTGGAGATAGTCATGGGATGCATCTCTTATTAGAGCTAAAGGAACCTCAGTAATTGTATATCCAAGTCATGTACAAGAAAGTTTATTGCTTTTCTTATTTCTTTTCATCTGTTCTCATTAGTGACATCAGTTTGCCACCATTTATTCTCAGTAGTGACCGATTCATTGGGCTGTGTTGGCTGGATCCCATTACTGCATAGACTCTGAGGTCATACTATGAGAACTCAGGGGAAGGAGAAGATCTAAACCATAAGCTAAGAGAATACTTTATCCACTAATCAGTTTGATGATCTTTCTTATGCTAGGAAGTGTCATGTAACTGAGAATGAAGGAGGAGGAGAAAAAAACACATTGGAAAATTTAGGACCATCTTCATTTGTCTGTTTCAACTCAGAGTTTCAGCAGAAAGAGTATAGATTTGGGGGTTATTTTGATCTGGGTTCCAATCATAGCTCTACTACTTACTAATTCTAGGTCTTGGTCAGTTAGTTCGTATTTTTCTGTAGGGAAGTTGTCCTCTTTCTTTCTTTATTGGCTATTGTTAGGCCAATGTGTTAGTGGCTAGAATACAGTGGTAGGATACTTAATGAGTCTACTTATTTTTTCCTCATTGTGCCACAAAAACCAAAATTTATATCCCCTTTGCCCCTCTTCTGTTTTATTAGAAGGTGGGATATTTAGCACCAGATTCTCTTTACCTGAGATGCAGCCTACCTCTGACAATTGAAATTATTTTATTTATAATTCCTATATGACAAAAATTGTACAGTTGCCCAATCTGTTTGTTTAGACAATATTTCCCATGGGTCTAAAGATTTTTTTCATGGAGTCTATAAGACCCAAACTGTTTCATAGTAATATTAAGGTTTTTTTTTTGTTTGTTTGTTTTTTGCCTTTCCATTTTTTCTTTTATGAGTGTACAGTTTTCCATAGGCTACATATGACATGTGGTGACATCATTGCTTTGATGATTAGTGGACTGTTTTCTTATATATTCTTGATGTTTTAAAAATTTTGTTTTAATTTCTAATATGCTAAATATTGATTTAAAAATAAAGCTCTTGGGTCCTCAGACTTTTAACAGTATAAAGTGAATTTTAGTTTGAGAATCACTGCCTCACAATGTAAATTCCTCAGGAGAGAGTGGGATGGTCCTTCACCTTTTCATTATTATAAAGTAGTACTCAACAAAATTTGTGGAATGAAAGCTGTTTTCTTCCAGAGTGTGTTTGCTCAGTGGTGAAGCAGTTATTAAAGGAATTTACATATCCATGTGACATTAAGCATTATCTTTGAATTGAATGACTGAATAAAAATTTCAAATATATATAAATTCATATGGTTGGTAACAGAAATTTTTATTTAAAATACTGGTTCATAGTTGCTCTTTTGATTTATATTTTTTCCTTCACTAGTCATATAATAGCAGATATACTTTTACTTAGTTTTTCTTTTTTTTTAAACTTTAAGATCTTTATCAAAAAGTATAGTATAGTAACTGCTGATTTTTCAACTGATAGCAAAAAGTAAAACCAGACTCCCTTAGTAGTCTCCATTCTAGCCCTATCAGTTACTAGCTGCATGACCTCGACAAGTTACTTTATCATTTTGTGCCTTGGCTATAAGATGGTCTCCCTCATACTTTCCTGCTGTTAGCACTTAGCTTCCTGTAAACTGTAGCTTCCATTTAACTTTATTCCTGTAGTTCTTGGTGTTTTCAATATGCATACAAATGTTTTTTCCCCCAAAACTCTGATGTCTTAATTCCTTGACTTCTCCCACAAATATTTTATCTTCTACCTTGCTTTGGTTACACATTTTATGGATACACCCTGGGTATTTTCTTCATTAATAACTGTGCCTGTGTCCTTTCCACAGTCATATTTTTGAGAATCCCACTTTCCTATCTCCTCTTGCCATCCCTATGTCTAGTACCCTGATTTCAAGTCTTCTCTTCTGTCCATACCCTGCTGGTATTCTATGACCCATCATTATGATTATTCCCTGCCTTCACTTCCTTGATTTCTCTGTTTCTGGCAAAATTCTAACTGGTGGAAATCTGTCTCTATGTCTACTCTGTGCCTGTCCCTGGTTGCTGAACATGGATGGAGAAAAAACTTTTAACAGACCACTTGACTGTTCCCCATTTAAGTCTGTGACACTAACATAACAAGGACTATTTTGTATTGTCTGGCAATTCTCCTTGAAGTTCAATACTATTAGTTTTCCTGGATAACTGTTTCACATATCCTCCTAGAAGTTCAATATTTTCCCAGTTTTCCTAGATAACTGTTGCACATCTTCTCATATTTCATACCTCCTCCTCTACTATATTGGTTTTATCTTGTTTAAATTTATTTTCTCAGATAAATAATAATAGGTGATAACTTTTTTTTTTT